CTCATTGCGTGACTCCCCGTGGGACCAGAAAGCAATGTACATGCTTTATGCTGATATTGCTGTTGGACTATTCCGGTTGAGCTTCTACTTAGAATTCGCGCCAATTTTGTGGTCGCATCACCCCTTCCCACTCTTCATGGTCAGACCAATTTATTTGAACTTCCGTTTCCTACGGAAAACCGTCAGAGTGAGTTTATCAAGCATTTTAGTTATTTTCTCCAAAAAATTATTCTTTTCTACGAACACCTCTAAATTTCAGTAAATATCTTTTAAGCTTGCATCCTTCAACTTCCTACCAGTTTTCATTTACTTAGCCCAATTAACTGAATTTGAAAAGACTTGCGCTTTTGCAGTATTTTGCAGATTTTCATTATGGTCTTCTGTCAGAACTCATCTTATTTCGTAAGCACAGTTTTAATATTAATAGCTCTTCGCCGCTGTTAAAATTTACGTTGATGCCGCTTTACCATTAAAATGAACCAGTAACTTAGCGGTGGCGGGTTTCTTCCTCCTCGGTCAAAAAAGGATTTCTCCATGCACTATTTTCTAGAGAGAGTACTGCAATATACAAGGGAAACTAGAGAAGTTATTTATCGTCAAGCCATCCGAACCCCAAGGCAAAACGAACCATCCTATAGTCAATTCTATGAACATATACCCATTATGCCAACGCCTATCATACGTTACTATTGAAACACATTCCGATCTTGTTTTCGCAATTTAGGGACTTGAGCACAATTTAAGCCGTTAATTGTCACTCCATGGACCGTATAAAAAAAATTATGAGCGAGAAATTACGGACGTTTAGACATAAGATCGAAATGTAAGACATGAATGGCTGCTAGTATTTCATTTCCACGTATGTGTACGAGTAAGTTAATGGGGGCGTGTTAAGACACGGGATCACGTACATTCTTCTGAGTTTTCGAATCCATACAGAAGTCCGTCTTCCTGAATGAAAGTATCGACATATCAAGCTTACTTGTACTTGTTGCGGCTGCGATCATGACTGATCTAGCTGGCCTCGATGATGTCCCATACGCGCGCGCGATGATCAGTAGCAGCAGACCTGGATATTTCGAGCCATTCTCATCGCCAGCGCCGGAGATCGAATACCGAAGGTCCAAGAACCACTTCCATGTCCTGACGGACTAAGTCGCGCCAGGTTTTGAGCTGACCCCCACTTCGACGTTTCCAATTAGGTACCGGATTCGGGTCGAGGGCAGTAAAAATGAGCTGGTGAGGTTGGCGGCGAAAAGTGTGTCCGAACCACCTCAGTCGTCTTTCTCGGATGGCCTGGGATATCCTTATGATGTCGCAGCGAGTGTGGACTGTCTCATTTGAGAGGAAGTCGGTGTGCTTCACTCGAAAGATGGTCCTCAAGCCGTAGGGACTAAAAACTTCCAGTTTGCGTTCATCTTCCACGGAAACTGGAAGTCCTTGACCACTACTGCTTGAAGATCATCCTTCGAGTGAAGTATATAACAAGCGATAATTATTGGGGGATATTAGCCAGTCAACAACCAGTGCTGCATTTGACAGCCGACGAAAATCTTTCCTGCCCTGCCTTTGTATTCTAACTAACCAATTCCTATTTACTGGCATTGCAGAGTAGCTGCGCAGTTAGTTTGCTTCCTTGTTAATTCGAAACTGTAGATTCATAATCCTGAATATAAACATTTTAACCTATTCATTAAATTAAGTGGAACACTTGCGTTTTCATATGCAATTTTCCTACAATGGTTTTTACCATTACAGGTTGTTATTTAATTGTTTTTTATTTTGGCAATAAAATGTATTTTAACGACCGCAATCTGTATGGCTGATTGTAATATTACCTTCCGTATGACGAACCTAAAGCTACATTTTTTTATTATTTTGGTTTCAGTTTAGTTTCAGTTTATTTGGTGAGGGTAATAGGCAATGCCTTTGAAAACCCTATTAATGCGTTTTCCTTGTGCAAAAGTGTGTGACCCCCTTAGAGCGTTTTAATAACCTTCAAGGCGGGTTACCCGGGAAAGGAGGGTTACCCGTTAGCCAAGCTGCAGGCTA